TCTTTTTTTTTTCATTTCAGTTGATTTGTACTATAAATTTTCCTGACTTTTCTTCCCCCTAATTCTCAGGTTTTGATAAAATCAAGATGATTATCAGTCTAAGAAAAATTGATGCTTAAATCCTGTAACTCGAAGGCTAAATTTCAGCATCAAAAGAAGGTATGATTAACCTAGCTTTTGCTATAAAATGATCTAATTCAATTTCTGTTTTTTCTAATATTAGCAAGACATATTAGGAATATTTCTTTAATAAAACATAATACAGAATAAGGAATTAAACTTCTGCTTCATGCTGTCGATTTAACCATAAAATAAGATAACGTAATAAGCAGCTGTAACCCCATCAAGTGTATTACAATTTTGTTTCAAGAAAAAAATAAAATGAGCAAACTGAAGGGGGAGAAACTAGCCTTTGGAAAGCCAAGGAACATCATCTTGTCCATTCCCAGTACCATCACGGGGAAGTCTTTTGACCAAAGTGAATCCATGTGTTAGACACATCCCACCTCTGTGGGACACATCCCACTAGTAAGACTGAGGTTCTAGACTTAGCCTGGAATCCCGGGTCACGGGGACTCCATGGCCTGGAAGGTCTGCTCAAGTAGTTGGTGGGTGGACAACTTTGGACATTTATACCTTGTTCCTCTAGAACCGAAACAGATATAAGATTATTACTTTGTAATTCACTATTTTGGAACTGCATTCATTTCAACTGAATTATCATTTAAAGTTTGCCTTGCTGAACTTATTAGAAACATTTAATGAATGAAGGGAAAAGGAAGATTTCAGATGGCATCCAATTTATTTTAGAAAAAACACCTTTAAATCCTTCTGAAAAACATTTTTTACCAAAGTAATTTAGAAATGAAAGGCTCATCAGACTCATCAACTAGTAAATCCTCTGCTTCCTAAGATACACACTATAAAAATTAAGGCATAAAACCACGGCTGTGTCAGTACAACCTGAGCAGTTGCACGGGTGGCCCCAGACAGACTCCCAGATGCTATTACACAAGTGAGTGAGAACTGGGAGGAATCTAGACTCAGAATTACTGTTACTTGCCCAAGGTACTGCTTACTCATAGCAAAACTAAGGCCGGTAAGATAGACACTTTTCTAGAGAACGTAAGACAGAATCTTTGTCCTTAAGAAATAAAAAGGCTATGAAGATGAAATTGATTTTAGCTCTCCTTTTCCCAAATTCATTTATTAATAATTAACATGTTAATTATATACTCCTTTCTATTTATTAAAGCAAGTCCCTATAGCCTTTTCTCTCTGCAAACACTTAGCAAGGATAGTTATTATATGTGCTTGTTTGAAGGTAGAAAAGTACTATTTCATAAAATATATTGTAATTAAACATTTTTACATATTTAGATTGGCTTAATTCCATCTGTTAATTTAATAATTCTGATTATATAGCATTAATAGACATTTCTAACATATTCCCTTTCTTCAATTCATAGAAATTTTTTTCTTAATCTCTGTAGTATTTCTGATATATTGCCATGCCTATATTTCTAAAATGTTTCTTGTTCCTTGAAGGCATGTAGTTTGTCTTTTTGTTTTTGTTTCCCTAGTGGCTCCCTGAACGAATGAGCTAGCGAGAAGGGAATACATTTAAGGCCTGGGAAAGGGCACCACCAGTGACCATGTGAGTGGCCTCTGAAGCCAGCCCTCCTTGGTAACCCTGCCACACCTCTTAGCTGTAGGCACTGGGTGAAGTACTTCACTGCTCAGGGCTTTGGTTTTCTCATCTGCAAAATGGGGACAGCCTTACAGGGCTTTGCAAGATTAAGAGAATGGGCAAGTCAGCCTGGACAAGAATCCTGGCTTGACCATTTTAGTCACCTGTGCATCCTCGTAAAATTGTTTACCTGTCTATGCCTCAGTTTCTTTCTCTGTAGGGTGGAGTAGTAACAGCACCTTATCATATAGCATGTTGTGAAGATTAAATGAGTTAACACTTAGAATAGGACCCAGGACAAGTCTAATAAACGTTTGTTGTTATTACTAATAACAATTTTGGAGAAGATGCACCTGACAATAAAATGCTTATTAGCAAAAAGAGGCTGTATACCATCTTACCCTAAGATCTCTTAAAAAAAACAGAAACAGAAGAAAGTCATCTAGTTAAGAACAGAAACAGAAAGGTGATTCTAATGATCTCTTGGGCGAGGGCAAGTCTTTCCAGAGACATTAAAACTTCTGATACGAAGATGCGAGATGGATATCTCACGAATAATGTGAGTAGTTAATTAAGAGGAGGAAGGAAAAAACCCTTTATTTGTTTAAAAGGACAACGGAGAGAAATGCAAAGGGAAGAAAGAGCATTTACTGAATTGAACACTACATGTTACAAGTGTCATCTCCTGTCCTTCAGTGCCTGCCGAGGAAGGGAGACTCCAAGGGGAAGGCGGCGACTATTGAACATCAGCAGTACCAGGACGCTGATTTTAATCACACGGCAATCAGAGCTAGTGCAGGAACCCAGGAGGACATGGGCCTTGGAGTGGAATGTGGTGGCAATGCCACTTGGGAGAGGAGAAAAGCGCAGCGACTGCGGGAACGCCGGCGCTCCCAGCTCGCAGACACGAGAGAGCACTGAGCGTGGAACAAGCCACTCTTACTGCAAACTGTTTCCACTACTAACCCACACTCAGGATTTATGCCTTAAAGAACTCCAAACAAAACACCTTCTTGGCTGGTGAATCAAACTGTGATGCAGGGGGTCCAGCGGGCTGTGTTAATGTAAAAGGTCCTGGAGTTGAAGCAAAATTTGGCTCAGAGAACATTGGAATTGGAAGCAACGTCCAAGGTAATAATCCCATGTTCTCATTTTCTAGAGGAAAAGTAACTCAGAGAGAGTAAGCAATTTTCCAAGGACACGATGCAGTTTGGATGAGAATTCTGCTGGGCTCTGTGTTTTTCAATTAAGAGTCTTCATGTTCAATGATTCTGGAAATCGAGGGATTTATTCTAAGAAGAAATCTATGCTGTAGAAACTACCTTCCCCGCTATTACCTCCTCCAGCGTGAGCTCTTCCTTAGTTATTCACAAGACTTATCAGACAGTTCAAGACTCAGTTTTCACTTAATATGAGTGAAAAAAGAGATTCCAAGATTGAATTATTTAAGAGTACAGAGATCAATTCTGAAGACTACATGAAGTCCTTATGGTTTTAAGGGTTAAATCGTAGACCTATAGCCACCCTCAATTCTGAGAACAGGGCTCTGACCTTGTCCCAATTACATTCTGAGCAAAAGTCCACATTTTCTGTGCCTATCACAACGTATAAACCGCTTTTCCAACTGTCACTGAAGTTTTCCTCTTTCCATGACAGCCAAAGAAACCCAGTGGGTGCCCACCATGCCCAGGAGAGTGGCAGGCTGGGAGGCTCTCACGGTGGGATGACTCACAGCCCTGCCTCAGCTTGGAGACACTCTGCTCCATGTCACAATTAACTGGAGCCAAAAGGGAACAGGCAGACTGTGACTGCCAACCGGGACTTAAATTCCTGCGGCTCACGTGGAATTACAACACGGAAAGCTGTTCATGACATGGTATGAAGGGAACCACGCAAAACACACCGGTCTCTGCTCTGGCTCCACGCATACGGGTAAGGCAGGAAGGACCACATGAAAAGGGTTGAGAAAAGAAGAATAAGAGAGAGAGAGAGAGAGAGAGAAAGGAAGGACGAAAGGAAGGAAGGAAGAAAGGAAAAAAGAAAGAAAGGAAGAAAGACAGTTTTCCTAACAACAGAAAAGAGCTGGAATGTAAATACAGCAAAGCCATGTAAGGCAAAGAAACAACAGCAGCACTGAAATGCTTGAAATCTTTCAGAAGAAATCTTCGAAACACAAGACAATACCCTTATAAGTCACTTTTCAAACTGTAAAGTACTATAAACAGAAAGACCAGATTTTCTGAGAGATTCTAGGTAAAAGTAGAGAAGGTGCCTGGGCCTCAGCGTGCGTGTGTCGGCTTCATAGGCGGCTTTGCTGGACAGACGCAAACGCCTCTAGAAAACACCGAGGCTCCCCCACAGGCGGACCTGACGTCGTGGAGCTGGTAAGCATTTCACTGCAGCTTCCCAGTGGGCACTCGTCGCCTTCGTATGGAATATCCCTGGTATTTTTAGAAGTGAGATAACTCTGGGAATTGTGCCAGATTATCTCCTTCTGTCCAAATTATCCATTAATATCTAATTTAAATAAACAAAATATAAAGAAGGCACTAAATTCAAATGTCTTATTGACAAAAGCAACTTAGAAAAAATATACACATACACACACACACAAAAGGTTAAAAAACTTGATAAAAGGATCATATGTGTATATGACAAAACCTACGTCGACTTCCAGGCATGTGGGATGTAAACAGTGCATTCTGCACATGGTTCCACTATTCCCCTACTCCTCCCTCACCTTCCTCTTTCAAAGACGTGCCTCCACTTCAGGCTTCAGGCTTTGTCTTCCTAAGACTCTCACTGGTGAGGGCTGGGAAAATGAGAACTAATGTTTACCTTGGGGACAACTGGGAGAGATGTCTTGGGTGACACCGTTCAGAGCCCCGAGCTCATGGTTCTAAAGGTGATTGCTGAGTGGGGGCAGCAAAGTCAGAACACAAAAGGACAAAGCCCAAGTTTTGAGTCAGAAACTTCTGAGGATACAGCTTGTGTCTTTCTCTCAACAAGCATTTAGAACTCCATCACGGAGAGAGGTTTACTCCTTTATTAATATCACATGTGGGAAGAGCACTTACTGCAGCGACTGATGCATAAATGCTTAATGAATAGTGACTATAATTATTTTTCCCATCATCATGGGCAACTAAAGGACTGTGGGTTTGCATTAACCTCACAAATCTGTCAGGTAACAAATAATGGACTCTTACAATATGTTTATAATATTAAAATATTGAAGGACTAGCATATTAACAAACTTTCTACAACTTACTGCAATGCATTTTGGAGAGTTGTTTTTTTTTTTTTTTACCTTGTGGTCCATACTGGCTCATCTGTGGACCGTAAGTCCCACTTGAGTTACTCTGCTGAAAGCTACTGATTCCAGGATGCATCTGGCCCCCAGGAGAAGGATGAGGCGACATGGAGGGTCCTGTCTGTTGAGGTCCATACTGAGACATCTGCGGGTTTCTTTGTGTGCCTGCCATAAACCCTAAGTGGGAAATAAATACAAACATATAAATGTAGGTGCTTCAAAATCCTTGCCCACATGAAAATGGAAATGGAATTGAGTGGAAGGCAGAAGGGGAGAAGGGTGGCACTGCGATATGCCCCTAAAGAAACATCTAAAGACATTTCACGGGGCTACCCTGGTCCTAACCTGAATTCTCATCAGCGTTGCTGGGAACCCAGTGGACTGTGGACTTGAACCAGGGAAATGGAGAAGGGGAACAAAAGGCAAGTAGGCTTAACCTGTGTTATAGATGAAGCCCTGACATAAAGCTACAAAAAGAGCTGGAAGCCCTGTACTGCAAACCCACCAGCTCTGAGGCTGGTACACTGTGCACACCCACCTCAGAGCCTTTGCTCACTTTCTGACCTCTGGAATGCAGGTCTCTGGTCACTCAAAAAACCTGCTCCTCAAACCCAGGGCAGCACCCAGCTCTGCCCTGCACAGTGCTGGTTTTCTCCCCTCTGGTTTCCTAGAGCAACAGCTGTTCGACTTGGCTCCCCAGTAGCCCGCGGACCTTCGAATACCTGATGCGTACTGTCCCTTACAGGTAAACTGTGAACAGCTGGAGGGTTTGAATTGTATCCTGCTTTTCCCAAACAGAACCTGTGACTTCCTCCCTCAAGCTTGCTCTGCCCAGGGCCACCCCCACCTGTATAAAGGCACCGCCCTCCCGCAGATGCTCCTGTCAGAAACATGGGACAGCCCGAGCCTGCTCTTTCCTTCTTCCCTCTATGTGCGACCCATCCATCAGCACGTCCCACTCACTCTACTTCTGACACGGATCTTGAGAGGTTCTACTTCCACCAAAGCCAGGCCCGGCTACCGTCTCCTCTTGCGCGCACACTGCAGTGGTCTCACCCATCTCTCAGCACCCCCATCCCCTACTGTCTTGCTCCTTTTGATTCATTTTCCACGAAGCTGCCAGAATTATCTTTTGGGAATAAAAAAGGAAACTAGAACATCTCTCTCCACTGCATAAAACCCTTCAAGGCTTCCCACGAGAGCTAGAATCAAATGCAAACACGTAACTTGGTCTCTGGCCTCTGAGATCTCAGTGGTCCGGCCCCATTTCCTCTAGCTTTCTCTCCCTCTGCCCCTGGCAAGCCCACGGCCTGCGGAGCTCCTGGAAGACAGCATCAGGGCCTTTCCCTAGAACGCTGCTACTCCCCCTCTGCACTGCTGCCTCCTTCTCATCCTTCAGGTCAGCCTTCCCCGACCACCCAATCTGAAGTCGTACCAACCCTTGCTGTTTGTCACTTGCCTTCCTTCATAGCTCCTTTCCTAACTTGTAATCATTTTATTATTGACTCACTTATCATCTCTTTTCCCGCTAAAACATAAGCACCCCGAGGGCAAGGATCACGTCTAGGTTCACTATTGCATCCGAAGTGCCTAACAGAGTGTGCAGCACATAGCGGTCATCAAAATCTATTTGTTTAAATGAATGGATGTTAAATTTCTCATGCACCCAACAGAGTGCTGAGCACACACAGCAGGTGCGTGGTGGGTAGCTATTTCAAAGCGACAAAGAAAACATACCTTTAAATTACGCAGAACTATCATATCGGGTACATCCACATATCGGGAGTTCAGGCAAGTATGAGTGAGTATGTAGAAAGAACTGTGAAATACTCATTTGGACAAAGAGTGTCCCAGATCAACACATATATCTAAGAAAAAGCTAACGTTATTAAATTAGCATGCTAACAAAGGGCAGTTTGAAAAGTGACTCTCAGAACTCAGGAGTTTACCCTGGTCAGAGTGCGCCTGTTACCAAGTGAAGGCTCTGGCTGGAAGGTGGGCAGGTTTCCGCCTGCTCCAGAGACCCTAGAGCAGTAGCTTCCAAAGAAAGCCCGACCGAGGCAGGCAGAGGGCAAGATAATGTCTAGATCTAAGGTCAGCTTAAATTTAGGTCAGCTTAAATGGTACACTGTATTTACACAGACAATGGTTTACATTTCAGTAAGAAAAAAAAGAGATCTTTTAACATTGCTTCTAAAGAGATAGACATAAAAGTAAGCAGAGCTAGTTCTTATTATCCTATTTACTTTATTTATAAAGATAAGCCTTTATGAAATTGGGCTCAATTGGTAGCTCCCAGATATAAATCATCATAGAAAACGTTTGCTTTTTCAAATCTGAAAACAAACAGAAATCAGAGTACTAAAATTACTACAAATGATTGCATCTTAAGATGTTACATGAAATATTTATCTAAGCTTTACTGTAAAATTCTCGAGAGTTTCAGATAGAGTCCTGCTTAATAAAAAATGCGTTTCAATTCCATACGGATTGTATGGGTCTCCCCGCTACTTTCTTTAAGGAGAATGACTGCTTTTTCTTCATTAGTTAAGAAAACAACACAGGTCTTTTAATTAGCATTAAATTTTGCTTCCACTGTAAGGTGTCCATGCCAAAGGATTTAGAACCTCTGATAGTATACCGTATCTTTAAGTTACTGTTGCCTCTGAAATACTTGCTATAGGCTTAAGGTTTATTCAAATGAGTTCTAAGAATTCTTACCTGGGCAAGTTATTTTTTTATTTCTATTTACTTAGTCCTTAAAAATACCTATGTCACATTCTACTTGAACTATCTAAATTATCACTGGTATTTTGCACAAAATTCAGTTCAGAAGTAGGTGAAACTAAAGCTAATTCAAATGGAACGTATCATGGCATCAAACACCCATGACTCAGGGACAAAGTTCTATAGGTGTGGAAACCACGTCCTCACATAGAAATTAAAATTGGAAAGCTAATTTTTCTCCCTATTTACTTTTCCAATGGCACCACTAAAAGGAGCTTCCTGAAAAGTTGTTTTATATTTGATGAGACACAGCCCTTTCCCTGTGTCCCCTACGACCATGAAAGAAACAAGTGACACATATCCCTGGTTCCTTTCTGACCTATCATCTAACTGCAGTCAACTGGGAACAGAAGGCCTAAATTACCTAGATGATGGCTGTGTAGATGAACGTAGACCAGAATCTGGCAGGGGAGACTGGTACGTAAACAAATATACTGCAGTGGGTATCGAATCCAACTAGCTGCGTGACTTTAGGCAAATCATAACACTTCTCTGAGCCTTAGTTCTCTCATCTAAAGATGAAGATGAGGTTCCTGTAAGGATCAACTAAGACAGTATGTGGAACTGTTCTATAACGTGTAACATGATGTACAAAAGTATGGCCATCATGATGATGTTAGTTTCTGGTTTATAAACTGCTAAGAGTATCTTTTAACTCCTGGATATCTCACATATTCAGATGTTTCCAGCTAGAATGGACAAACTAGTTTTTATTTCTACATCTGTTTTTTTATTTAAATATCTGGAATTCACATCACTGCAGTACTTATGGAACTGTATACAAGTTCCAAAGGGCTAGAAAGGGTATATTACGGACAGTAACCCTCCCATCCCTATCTTATACTACACCGTTCCCTTCGCCAAAGGCAAATGGTTTTTCAGTGTATCCTTTCAAAGATATTTTATGATCTGTGGTTGTGTTTTATTCTGTACTTTTCTTATCATGAGTAAATCTGAACATTGCTTAATAGCTGCTTTTATTTCCTTTTTAAGAACAGTTTATATCATTTCCCTATTCTTCTACTGGTCAGTCTATCTCTTGACTATGAGGTATTTCATCTTGCAGATACAGCTCCTATTACCAAACAGTTGCATGGTTCACCAAAGCTTCTGTATCTGCGATCCTGTGGAAATCTGGTCTTTTAGTTTGAGTAATACTGGCAGAGGCCACATATTGCAATAGCACAAAATGCTATGATCTGACTTGCATTAGTGAAAGCTAATTCTACTGTAATATGCACCTCGAAGAAAGGACTGAAGGGGAGAAAGTTTAAATATAACGAGGCCAGTTAGGAGGGTAGACAAGTGATACATAATATATAATCAGATTTAAACGCCAGCAGTATTCTACTAAAAAAGCCTTCCATAACGGATATAATTATATTTTTAAAGGTTATTGAATACTGCCATAATCTAAAACCAATTGGTGAAAAATTAGAAGATGGAAGTTAGCTAAAAAAGAAGTATTTATACTTTTCATCCTAAATACAGAAAGTATGCACATCTATTATTTGTTTCCTCATCTATAAAATGGGGACCATCATATCTAACCCATCGAGTTGTATGGATTAAATGAGATGATACATATAAAACACTTATAAAAGGGTCTCGCACACAGCACACTTTCAATAAATAGTAGCTATTATGGCTATTACACATTTGAAAAAGTGGATCAAGACAGGCAGTGTGGTAATGACCAGCACACTGGGCCAGGATGTGAGTCCTGGGCCTTCCTCCTTTGCTGTGGTTTCAGCCAGTAACTTCACCTCTCCGGCCTCAGTTTCCTCACCTGTTAAAACAGGGGGGTGGTGCTCACTACTTGTAGGACCACTTCTAACTCTAGTTCTCTATGATCCCGGTTTAAACATTTTCCTTTCCTAGGAAAGATATAAATATGATTTATATTTATATTTTATATAAAATAAATATATATATATTTATTTGAGGGTAGTTTTTTATTTTGTTTCAATCTTTATTTTTGAAGGAAACACATTTTTAAATGTTTCCCCCCAAAATCAGATTTCAACCAGGAATTTTCTACCTATTTGTAGTGACATAGGTATTTGATTGTATTTTGCTTCTTTTATAAAATTATTATAAAGTGTCAGCTTATAACAGAGTATGCGAATAGAAAAACTGACAGCTGAGAGAATCCAGCTGCATTTTTTAAAAGGTGTGAAAATGTTCTAAAGCCAGCTGAGTTTAGAAAACCAAACTTTCTAGTAAGGGAAATTTAGAAAGTATAAAATGAATTTCCTATGTAATATGAAAGCATATTGAGTTACTAAATGTATTATGGAATTATGTGTCCCAAGTAAGTATCTAACACGGGAAAATTCAAACTTTTGACAAAGTATTAAATCAGATAATTATTATTTACGTTATATAAG